TTTAGTCAGTATCTGTACTTATACTTGACTAAAGAATGGATGTACATTTGCCCCCTCTGGTTATATGTAACGCTTAATCTCTTTTGAAGCAGCATCTAACCTCTATCAGTGCTATAGGACAGTCGGCGGCATCGAGCATTGCATAATGTTCCCTGACCTCTGACCTGACTAGGCATTGTAAATGAACATTACAATACAGACAAAAGTTAGAAACTCTTATCCCAGACTGACGCAAAACTCACTGTCAGTTTGGAGCATCTCCATTGGAGAGAAATGATCGGACGCACTATCCCAACATACGGATATATTATTCCCCAGACAGCGGACCGTCGCTGAGGCTGAGGCGCAGGGGAAACATAGGAAAAAGGAACTGTGAACAAAAGAAGGAGCCGGGAGAAAAACAAACCGACTGCGATCCAACTATTCTGAGAATTCACATCCCTGGGCCACAAAAAAAACACATTCTTTTTATACTTGCTGTGTCATTTTTGTCCTTCACCCTGTGGGGGAATCCTTCAGCATTCCTTCCTTTCTCTAAAAATACTCTCTTTCTGGTTGGAGAGAAATTACAGCTGAAAAATATGTCTGGAATCTAAACCTGGTGGCACGGCCAAGACGCTTAACATTTCTGGGTCATTTGGTAAAAGAACATGTCACAAAATGATTGAGCTTATTTCTTTTTATGTCATAGATATTACATTTGATATCATAGCAGCTTGATTTCTTTTCTTTTTTATAGCTCTTGTGTGTGTTATTGGTACATTTTATGTGACACATTCAAGAAACTCCACAAAAATTAACTATAAATCTGAATCAAAGTGCAGTTTTTTCTGTGCGGTGTGCTAAATATAACACCTGTCAGACTATTAATAGAAGATAAATTCATTTTTCATCCATTTTCTCTGAAGAAATGTTCGCTGCAATTTCTCTTCTCTTTTGTCTGGGCCTGAAAATGAACTGCTATATTTACTTTCCAGTCATCTTTCTGATGAGGCTTCAGAGGCCCTTTCTTCACTGCCAAGATGAAAAATCAGGGGGAAACACCAGTCGACAGTGCCATTTATTGTGCTATTTTAGGCACAATAGACTATTAAGTTAAAGGTCTGCACTCAGAGAAAAAGGCCACTGCTTCAATGGAAGGTCAGGAGAGCTTTATGGTCATTGTAGGTCTAGAGATAAGTGTTATTTCTCAATATACGTTCGCTTAGTTACAAACATGAATACATGCACACATTCAAAATAGCATCATGGGGATTTTAAGGTCAATATCACAAGGAACTGACCTCGGCTTAATGAGAAGATGGTGACCTTTGACTGGGAAACAATGTCATGGGCCGAGTGAGAAAGAGGAGGAGAGGGAACCTAAACCTATATAATTTTATCATTTTAATTTTGTGGGTCGTGACATGGTCATTGTCAGGACCGATGGAGTGAAACTTATTGTGGCGGTCTTGTATTTGTAAGCTGCTTCCCTAATAATACAAATTCTAAGAGCAACATTTGTTATTTTGTCCCCAAAACTGATGCAATTGTGTTTTCTGTTCACTGCAAGGAGAAGGAGGACGACCAAGGCGGAGAAGAAGAGGAAGATGAGGAGAGGATGAATGTAAAAGTAAGTTTGTAATAAACAGCCATTGTGATCATTTATTTAAATCATACCAACAGATGTTAGTATCTATAAGCTAATATAGGGTCCCTTTAAAGGTCCATTATGTAACAT